CTCACAGAGTGTTGTTGTGGGGGAGGAAGGAAAAGGAGTATGTTAGCCGCTTTGAGACTCCTTTGGGTAGTGATAAAGCAGGATATCAAATCCAAACTCTTCTCTTCTTCTACTACAAAAGAAATTTATGCAAGCCAGTGCTTAAAAACTCCAAGATAAATATGCAAAACACCCTATAGTTGTTCCATTTTATATGTGTATACTGTTGTATATGTGTATACTGTTGTTCTGTAAGTCACTCTGAGTTGAGTAAAAAAAGAGTAACTAATAAATTTAATTAATTAATTAATTAATAATATGTATCTTGCATTCCTATTTATTTATATTGTTAGCTGCACCACAATTTCCAAATGATGAAAGATTTCAGGGCTGTCAGCATATATCTTGGGCTTGATTTCCTTTGAATGAAGGTTACTGGAGACAGTGGTGTCTTTGTGATATATAGTTTTATTTACACACCTATATGCAAGCTGAGCATGAGATGGAAGAGTTCACAGCATTAACACTTCAACAGATCTTGCTTCCCTATAAGATTTCTAGGGAGGCCGCCAAACCCATAGCTTTGGACTCAGCATGAACAGCAAGGCAGGCAGGTCTCCATGTCTTTTCCCAGCCCAGTTCAAGATGAGACTGGTCCAGATCTATTGGTCTCTTAACACCAGTGACATCATCTCATGCTGCCTTTGGTTGATATACCGTATTTTTCGCCCTATAGGACGCACCGTCCCATAAGGCGCACCTAGTTTTTTGGGGGGGAAATAAAGGGGAAAAAATTATTCCCCCCCCCCCCAGGCGTGGGGTTGGGGCGGGGGAGGCCCGAGCTTCCCCCGACCCCAGACCCCAAACAGGCAGCTCTCTGCAAGCCATGGGAGCCCAGCGCTGGCTCCCGCTGCTTGTGGAGAGGTCCGCGAAGCCTGGACGCGCTGATCTCAGCGTGCGCAGGCTTCGGCATACCGGCACCTCTCCGCAAGCAGCGGGAGCGCTCCCGCTGTTTGCGGAGAGGTCCGCGAAGCCTGGACGCACTGATCTCAGCGCGCGCAGGCTTCGGCATGCAGGCAACTCTCCGCAAGCAGCGGGAGCACTCCCGCTGCTTGCAGAGAGGTCCGCGAAGCCTGGAGAGCGAGAGGGGTCGGTGAGCACCGACCCCTCTCGCTCTCCAGGCTTCAGCGAAAGCCTGCATTCGCCCCATAGGACGCACACACATTTCCCCTTCATTTTTGGAGGGGAAAAAGTGCGTCCTATAGGGCGAAAAATACGGTAGCCTCTTTATATGTGGTAACTTCCCTCAACTGGACTTTGACAGAGGTTAGAATTGCTCTGCCCCTCTGATAAGCATACACTAGGCTAAAGCAGTTGCATTATTTTTACGATTATAGTGGTACCTTGGTTCTCAAATGCCTTGGTACTCAAACACATTGGTTCTCAAACACCGAAGACCCGGAAATAAGTATTTTTCAGAAGCCGAATGTCTGGTGCAGCTGTTGGCTATTGTATCCGGGGTGCCTGCACCAATCAGAAGCTGTGCCTTAGTTTTCGAACTTCTGGAACAGATTAAGTACAGATTAAGTTTGGCGCTTTTGTTTTTGCTATTTATTTTGCATTTTTGTTTTTGAGGCTTTTTTGGTTAATTTGTTTTTGTGACTGTGTGGAACCCAGTTCAGCTACTGATTGTGTGACTGTGGAAATGGATAAGCCTCACATCCAAACAATGACTATCATCAGTGCAGGTAAGAAAAAATAATAATTTTAATTTTTATCATCTACAATACTGTCTTATTTATTTTATCGTACATTATGTTTATTATTGCTTTCATTTTATGGATCTATGGTCTTGTTAGTAAAATTAATATTAAATTGCTGTTTTAGGGGTTGTTTTTAAAAGTATGGAATGGGTTAATCCGTTTTGCATTACTTTCTATGGGAAAGCGCGCCTTAGTTTTGGAACGCTTTGGTTTTGGAACGCACTTCTGGAACAGATTAAGTTTGAGAACCAAGGTACCACTGTACAATGAATTCAAATAATATCTACATATATTCACACTCTAGGTCTCTGTTAGACATCCATAGCTTAGGCAATAATCCACATATGATACCGAATAAATCTATTAATGAAGATGAAGAAAATAAAACCAAAGCAAGCTGACACTACTGGGGCTGTATTATCCACCACTTCCAAAAGCATAAAGACCTGTGTGTGCCTTGAGCAAAGCCAAAAGAGCAGAAGCCCAGGCAGGAAGCAAATAACAATCAGCCCTTGAAAGAAGTATCCTGAAAGAACTCCTTGGGAATCCAACCTCACCTTCCTTGGGCTACCAGTACTTAAGATCTGGCTGCCCTGAGGGAAAGCAGAAGCTAGGGAGCAAGTGTCATCAGCTCCTGAAATCAGCCTGAGAATATTTTGCATCATTCATTGTGTTAGTAATTTAAATTATAAACTGCCTTGGAAGTAAGAGTATATAAACATGATAAATAATCCACAGAGAATGAAGGAAGAAATCTATCTTGCTACTAACAATTTAGATAGACTGTTACTGTGTGATTTAGACAACTATGCGTTGCATTCAAGCCACTGAAATCTTCCCACTTGTCCTCCCCCCCCCCCGATTAATATATGTGTGGTAATGGCATAAGACGTGGGACGCGGGTGGCGCTGTGGGTTAAACCACAGAGCCTAGGACTTGCCGATAAGAAGGTCGGCGGTTCGAATCCCTGCGACGGGGTGAGCTCCCGTTGCTCAGTCCCCGCTCCTGCCAACCTAGCAGTTTGAAAGCACATCAAAGTGCAAGTAGATAAACAGGTACCGCTCCGGCAGGAAGGTAAATGACGTTTCCGTGTGCTGCTCTGGTTTGCCAGAAGCGGCTTAGTCATGCTGGCCACATGACCCGGAATCTGTACGCCGGCTCCCTCGGCCAATAAAGCGAGATGAGCGCCGCTACCCCAGAGTTGGCCATGACTGGACCTAATGGTCAGGGGTCCCTTTACCTTTTAATGGCATAAGATCATAGAATCATTGAATCATAGAGTTGGAAGAGACCACAAGGGCCATCGAGTCCAACCCCCTGCCAAGCAGGAAACACCATCAGAGCACTCCTGACATATGGTTGTCAAGCCTCTGCTTAAAGACCTCCAAAGAAGGAGACTCCACCACACTCCTTGGCAGCAAATTCCACTGTCGAACAGCTCTTACTGTCAGGAAGTTCTTCCTAATGTTTAGGTGGAATCTTCTTTCTTGTAGTTTGGATCCATTGCTCCGTGTCCGCTTCTCTGGAGCAGCAGAAAACAACCTTTCTCCCTCCTCTATGTGACATCCTTTTATATATTTGAACATGGCTATCATATCACCTCTTAACCTCCTCTTCTCCAGGCTAAACATGCCCAGCTCCCTTAGCCGTTCCTCAGAAGGCATCGTTTCCAGGCCTTTGACCATTTTGGTTACCCTCCTCTGGACACGTTCCAGTTTGTCAGTGTCCTTCTTGAACTGTGGTGCCCAGAACTGGACACAGTACTCCAGGTGAGGTCTGACCAGAGCAGAACACAGTGGCACTATTACTTCCCTTGATCTAGATGCTATACTCCTATTGATGCAGCCCAGAATTGCATTGGCTTTTTTAGCTGCCGCGTCACACTGTTGGCTCATGTCAAGTTTGTGGTCAACCAAGACTCCTAGATCCTTTTCACATGTACTGCTCTCAAGCCAGGTGTCACCCATCTTGTATTTGTGCCTCTCATTTTTTTTACCCAAGTGCAGTACTTTACATTTCTCCCTGTTAAAATTCATCTTGTTTGTTTTTGCCCAGTTCTCTAATCTGTCAAGGTCGTTTTGAAGTGTGATCCTGTCCTCTGGGGTGTTAGCCACCCCTCCCAGTGTCATCTGCAAATTTGATCAGGATGCCCTTGAGTCCATCATCCAAGTCGTTGATAAAGATGTTGAATAAGACCGGACCCAAGACAGAACCCTGTGGCACCCCACTAGTCACTCTTCTCCAGGATGAAGAGGAACCATGGATGAGCACCCTTTGGGTTCGGTCAGTCAGCCAGTTACAAATCCACTGAGTGGTAGCATAGTCAAGACCGCATTTTACCAGCTTCTTTACAAGAATATCATGGGGCACCTTGTCAAATGCCTTGCTGAAATCAAGGTAGGCTACATCCACTGCGTTCCCTTCATCTACCAGGCTTGTAATTCTGTCAAAAAACGAGATCAGGTTAGTCTGACATGACTTATTTTTCAGAAATCCATGCTGACTATTGGTGATCACAGCATTCCTTTCTAGGTGCTCACAGACTGTTTGCTTAATGATCTGCTCCAGAATCTTCCCTGGTATTGATGTCAGACTGACTGGGCGGTAATTATTTGGGTCCTCTCTTTTCCCCTTTTGAAAATAGGGACAACATTTGCCCTCCTCCAGTCTGCCGGGACTTCGCCTGTTCTCCAGGAATTCTCAAAGATGACTGCCAGTGGTTCTGAGATCACATCTGCCAGTTCTTTTAATACTCTTGGATGCAGTTCATCTGGCCCCGGAGACTTGAATACATCTAAACTAGCCAAGTATTCTTGTACTATCTCCTTAGTTATTCTGGGCTGTGTTTCCTTTGCTGAATCATTTGCTTCAAATTCTTCAGGTCGGGCATTGTTTTCTTTATCGGAGAGGACTGAGGCAAAGAAGGCATTGAGGAGTTCAGCCCTTTCTGTGTCCCCTGTTTGCATTTCACCATCTTCTCCTCTGAGTGACCCCACTGTTTCTTTGTTCTTCCTTTTGCTACTGAACATACACATAAAAGCCTTTTTGTTGCTTTTAACCTCTCTAGCAAGCCTGAGTTCATTCTGTGCTTTAGCTTTTCTGACTTTGTGTCTACACGTGCTGGCTATTTGTTTGAATTCCTCTTTGGTGGTTTCCCCCTTCTCCATTTTTGTACACATCCTTTTTAATCTTAACTCAGTTAAAAGTTCTTTAGATAGCCACCCTGGCTTCTTTAGGCACCTTCCATGTTTCCGTCTCATTGGTATTGCCTGACGTTGTGCTTTTACTATCTCCCTCTTAACAAACTCCCAGCCATCATGAACTCCCTTTCCTTTTAGTATTACTGTCCATGGGATCTCACCCAGCACTTCCCTAAGTTTTATGAAGTCGGCTTTCTTAAAGTCAAGAAATTGAGTCCTAGTATGCTTGGCTGCTCCTTTCCGCTGTATAGTAAACTTCAGAAGAGCATGATCACTCGCGCCTAATGATCCTTCCACTTCTACCCCACTAACCAGGTCATCAACATTGGTTAGGACCAGATCTAAAATGGCTGTTCCTCTTGTTGCTTCTCCCACTTTCTGGACAATGTTGTCTGCAAGGCCAGTGAGGAATCTGTTTGACCTTATGCTCTTGGCTGAGTTTGACATCCAACAAATATCCGGGTAACTGAAGTCCCCCATTACTACTATCTCCCTTCCTTTTGCATGCTTGGCCATCTGTTCCAGGAAGGCATCATCTATGTCCTCCGTTTGGCTTGGGGATTTATAGTAAACTCCCACAATGAGTTCACTGTTATTCTTCTCTCCCTTAATTTTGACCCAAATGCTCTCACTTTGGCTTTGAGGTTCTAAATCTTGGATCTCTTCACAGGTATACACATCCCTGACATAACGCCACTCCTCCTCCTTTCTTGTCTGGTCTGTTTCTCTGAAATAGATTGTATCCCCGCATTATTACATTCCAATCGTGGGACTTATCCCACCAGGTTTCAGTGATGCCTATTATGTCATATTTAGTTTGCTGTACCAAGAGCTCAAGCTCATCTTGTTTATTTCCCATGCTTTGCACATTAGTGTACAGACATTGAAGTCCATTAATCATTCCCCCGTGTCTCTTATTTAAGGATTTTTTCCTCCCACCACTAGGTCTGCGTGCTGTTTGCTCCATTTGGTCTATGACATTTGGATGATCATCTTCATCAATTGATAGACTCCTACCTTCAGGAGCACTGTCTCCCTCCCCCACATTAGTCAGTTTAAAGCCCTCCTGATGAGGTTTCTGCGATTTTTGGCAAAAACATTTCTCCCAACCGTTGTGAGGTGCAGCCCATTGCTTGCCAGAAGTCCATCTTCAAGAAACTGCAGTCCGTGATCTAAGAATCCAAACCATTCCTGTTTACACCATTTGTGAAGCCAGCTGTTCACTTCCACTATTTTTCCCTCTCTCCCTGGGCCACGTCGTTCAACTGGGAGGACAGATGAGATGACAATTTGTGCATTTAATTGCTTCAATTTCCTGCCCAGAGCCTCGTAGTCTCTTTTGATCTTCTGGAGGCTATTGCTTGCAGTGTCATTGGTTCCCACATGAACCAAGAGGAAGGGGTATTTGTCAGTGGGTTTTATGATTCCTTGCAGTCGTTCAGTTACATCTTGGATCTTAGCCCCGGGAGACAGCACACTTCCCGAGACATCTTGTCAGGCCCACAGATCACTGCTTCTGTTCCCCTCAGTAGGGAATCCCCTATCACCACTACACGCCTCCTCTTAGGTTTGGTCGGGGTTCTTCCGTGAGCTGTCCGTTCCAAGGTTGCCTGCACATTCCCTGAGGACTGACTTTGCTGCTCGTCTTCATATACCTGATCGACTGTAATGAGGGAGAGATCCTAAAATGGAGTCTGCTCTTCGTCTTCCATGCTAGGGGAGAGGACCTCAAAGCGATTGTGTATTTCTAAACAATCAGAGCGAACCCTGGGCCTCCTACTTCTTTGAGTCACGTTTCTCCATATATCTGGCTCCTATGTTGGTAAACTAGCCTCCTTCTCAGGGGAGTCCCCTGTCTCCTCCTTGGTGGAGACGGTGTGCTCTGTTGCTTCCAAGAAGAGCTCCAGCTCTCTAATTCTTTGGAGCGTAGCTACACGTTCCTCCAGTTGCTGGACTTTGTCTTTTAAGAGGGCAATCAACATGCAATTGCTGCAGGTAAAGCTGCCTGCAACCTTTGGCAAGATGGCAAACATTGCGCAGGAACCGCAGGCGACTGCAGCTGTTCCCCCCCTCCATCTTGAGAACGTGTCGTTGGGGGTGGCTACAGTGGTCCTCCATCATAAAAAGTGTGAAGACAGGACAAATAACTCCCTCCACAAAAAAACCTAGGTCTCCCCCAACAAACGTTTGAGACTAGCTCCCCTAAATCTAAAAGATGGATCAAATTGCATGCGTCACTAGGCGCGCGCCGCTGCCCTGCAAGCTCTGATAAGCTCCTCCCACAGCTAATCACCTGCCTCAACAGAAACCCTGCCCCCTCTGACCTTTGCACAGGGAGAGCAGCTAATCCAGCCAATTAATTTCCCATTGAAATCACCCCAAATAAAACGAAATAGTCTATTAATTTGCACCCAACCTGTTTCCACATTAATCTGCCAAATAATGACAATTTTCATTTAAGTATTTAAATATGCATTTCTAAACATATTTTCTCTCAAAATACATGCTTTAAACATATTTTGATACTTTTGACATCAAAACTAAAAGCCAGTGGATAGCTTAGACCGAACACCACTTTCCTGTACGTAGGCATCATTGAATTCAATAGAACTTCTTTCTGAGTAGGCATGGTGAGGATTGCACTGTAAGTTCCTATCTGGACATTAGTCTTGGTGGTTCAGATCAGGTCAATTTGTATTGAAATTCACAAAGATCGATTTCCTAAAGCATCTCTAAACGAGGCCCAAATTGTTGTAAACAACAAACAAACAAAAAGCTGGTTGCATGTTCCTGTTCGAAAGAACATGAACTGTATTATGCATGAGCAGTGAATTGGGGGGACTGGCATGAAGCAGAATAAACCTTTTTATAAATTGCTGACCGAAACATTGTTTGGGGTATGCTAGATAGTAACTTACTCTCCTCATGCCCCAAACTCCAAGCATGATCCCAGTTGTAGGGTTAATACTAGTGGTTCTCAGCTTCCCATGACCCCAGTTAGTAGTAAATTTCAGGGTTTATTTCAGCTTCAGTTTATCATTAACTGCCCAGAACACATTGCTTAACGGGAAGAATGCAAATGATATATGCAAATGATATAAATTATAGCTTTTTACAGGGTGTTTGTGAGGATAAAATATAGACCCACCAAAATAAATCTAGACACACAGGGGTTTTTTTGGAAATGTTATATTTTTACAAATAGGCAGCGTAGGGCTGCCGTACGTCCGGAATTTCCTGGACATAGCCGGGATTCGTTTGTCGAAAACTTTTGTGTCCAGATTTTCACTCTTTGAAATATGGCAATCCTAATGCAAAGTGAATATGGGCTAGCTGGCAAACATTCAGATAGCTGTTATAGAAGAATTAATTTCTCAATCAACAAAGGAGATAACATGCTCTTGGAGCAATACTGGTAACTGCAAGAACTCAGTCTTCAGAATCATTATTTACTTTCTAGCTTTAAGTTTCCTTTTTAGTGCTACATACACAAGGTACTGTGCCACACACCACATACATACAGACAGACAAACAAACACACACGAAGTTTGTCTGGTTGCTTGCACAAGAAATGTATCTTCTTGCCATCAGTACCGATTAGGTTGGCTATCTTTTCACGACAGAACAAACTAGAATTCCTTTAAGGCTACCTGAGGTTACTCCTTTCATAAATGCTATGCGGAGTAATATTTTTCATAACTATAGCTCCTTTTAATAAATAACTCCTTTTGAAAACCTTCACAACAGTCCTAAAAAGGCCAAGACAAGCCACATGCCGCAAAGGTTACATTCTGTCATGAGTTTTTCACACAGAGACTGCACATGGAAACTTCTGCATCTCAGCTCATTCTTTTTTTGACAGACTTCTGCTTATCCTGACAGTTTCCCTTGGGAAACTCTGATCTTTACCATGGAATTGGAGCAAACATCAGTTTCTCTGCGGATTGACGTTTGCTCCAATTCGGTGCTAAAGAGTGGGTTTTCCTGGAGAAAGCGGTAGAGCAACCACTCAGACTTGTGTCTAGAAAGCATGTGACAAGCGGTAAACTACCCAGACCCATGCGTCCTAGGCATGGGATAAGCAGAAGTGTGGCTGAGCCGTAAAGCATTCTATAGGTCATCCTAGAGATGATTAAGGAGTGTGCATTGAGATGCCCTCTTCAATTAGTGTATTTCCCCTCTTTGTGCCAGCCTGGCAAAATGCCCACCACAACAACTTAGGACATGTGTGAGCATCCTTGCCATGGCTGAGAAGAGCAAACGAAGTATCTGGAATTGTCTACCAAATACCCTTTCCAGGACAAGGATCGGGGACTAATGTTTCAGTGTGATGTGTAACTTAGCACTACTTACTCAGATTCAGTTTCACTCCTAACCCATAAATCCCTACATTTTAGCAGCAGATCAAGTGCAAACTTAGTGTCTGGTCATTCTGCTTTAAACCAGTTTACATAGCACTTACTGTACTTTTCAGTGTATAAGATGAGGTTTTATAATAAAAAAAATTATGTTCAAAATTGTGGGTCATTTTATACATGGACACAATCTCCCCCCATTTTCTTAATCTGGAGTTCCCAAAAATAGGGGGTGTCTTATACATTGGGGGGAGTGTTATACATGGAAAAATACTGTAAATCCATCGGTTTTGCTACAGATGGTTTGAGCTAAATTGATTTCAGCAAGAGATCAGCTGGTTTATGTGAGCCTAAATTCAATATTTGCAAAAATTTAAATATGTTCTCTTAAATTAGTTCAGCTAGTGTAGTTTTATTAACCCGGACAAAGTCTTAACAGGAGCAATCAGCTGGCCCAGGCTATGTTCCATATTAAGATGTGGCATTGTGCCAGTGAATTTTCCAGAATGGAAAAATGCCCTAGAGTTGAAATATATTATTGGTAAGAAGGCGTGACCACAGACTTTCACTGTGCATTTCCCTACTGATAGAGCTTTGCTCTGTGGTCATCTTTTTCCCCCTGTCAACAAGTTTAAAAACTAATATTTAATGCCAATGAACAGACTCATTGCTCTTTACAAATGAACTGAAAGGAGAGGACAGAGAAGTCCTAGAGAGCTGCTCCAGAGAAGGTAACTATGAAATAATTTGTATTGAGAGATCAAGGCCATCTGGAGGCACTGAATAATATGAATAATTGATATATGTCTGGTTTTCCTGAAACGAATGGATTCTGATGCACTTGCAAAACAGAAGGGGATTTATTATACTTAACGAATTATGCACGTCATATCTAGAACACACTGATAGCCATAATGCATCACAGAACCGAAGCCCTTTGATTCCAGTGAGCTTCTGCACTCATAACTGTGATGGACTGTGATCAAACAATGCAGACTAACTGTAATAGATAGGATTAGTTCTGAGTTTAAGAACTGCATAAAGGGCTAGATGGAAAAAGAATGAAGCAAAAATATATGTATATGAGTGGTGTTTCGAGCTTAAGTTGGGGTTTTTTAAGGCCTATTTCTTAAATACAGTAACATGAATCTTATAGTACATATTCAATGTGGGATGGTTTTAACATTCATGAATAATGATTAAAATTTACTATATCCTGCACACAGACATACACATCACACACAAGTCTTTGCACCTTATCTTCTCTGGGATTATGTGGTGAGAATTGGTTTGAATGTGTTCTCAATATGTAACATTCCCAAAGGTAGATGGGCATATAAAAAAATATTTAAAAGTCTGAAAACAAACCTTTTCTGTGTTATTGTTTATTGATAGCTGTCAAAACCATAGAACTGTAGAGTGGGAAAGGACCCTGAGAGTCATTTCCCCCCCAATCAATTGGGTAATAAAACAATTTGCATAATTAAAGCAGGCCATAACTTGTTGTGATGGGTGATACAAACCAGCATGAAACTGATTTCATTGAACCTAAGCATACTTGACCATGTGTGGGATTGTGGTTAACATGTTTTGTGCAAAATATTGTGGAGCTATACCACAAAGCAACAAGTACAGTAGTGCCCCGCAAGACGAATGCCTCGCAAGACGAAAAACTCGCTAGACGAAAGAGTTTTCCGTTTTTTGAGTCGTTCCGCAAGATGAATTTCCCTATGGGCTTGCTTCGCAAGACGAAACGTCTTGCGAGTTCTTGCGGGTTTGTTTCCTTTTTCTTAAAGCCGCTAAGCCGTTAATAGCCGCTAAGCCGTTAATAGCCGCTAAGCCGCTAAGCCGCTAATAGCCAATAAGCCGCTAAGCCACTAATAGCCGTGCTTCGCAAGACGAAAAAACCGCAAGACGAAGAGACTCGCGGAATGGATTAATTTCGTCTTGCGAGGCACCACTGTATTGGTTTGTGTTTGGTTTGAACGTGTTCATTGTTTCTAAATAGTCTCACTCACCTTTTTACCATACTGGATTTCAAGACTGTACAAGTTCAATTTAAAAATAGAAAACAAGAAGTGGGGCACTGAAATAAAATGTTACTATATATAGTGATTCAGCCCCTCCGTTCCGTTATTTCTCCCCAAATATTTATCTCCCCATCCTCCTGCAACAGTCCAAAAGCATCCAGTGTGCACTGAGCACCCACAACCTATCTTCATTTGGCTCTGGGTTTTTTCAGGGTGGGGAGCTCCATTATGGTTTTGAGGAGATGTGTCAAATCTCAGCTACAATAAAATACTGGATCTCTCCATTTATTTATTTATTTATATACATAGCTCTCACCCCTAACTCTGGGGATATTTAAAAATAGCTTCTTAGTGTGGCCCTGTATAGGGAAGCTGTATAAGGTTTAATGTTTTATTATGTTTTTATATATGCTGGAAGCCACCCAGAGTGGCCAGTGCAACCCAGTTAGATGGGTGGGGTACAAATAATAAATTGTTGTTCTTGTTGTTAATATGACTGAGTTTAAATGTGTTCAGCAGTTTTTATGGGACTAAGTTGATATTTAAGAATGGATAAACTTGGAACTGTTTGACTTGGAAATGGCTGCTTAAATTTGATCACCACTGGAATTTTTCAGTTGATTTGATAGTGTTCACTTGGGTTTAATTGTTTGTTCATGGATTAAAGAAAGCTGATACTTTACTTTCCTCTTGCCTTATGCAACCAATCAGGTGCTTCGTATTTTCTCTTATGTATGTCTTCACAATGCTTCAACAATAACTTCAATTGTTTCAGCAAAAGGCAGTGACAAATATTTACTTTACAGTAACAAAGAGAAATTGCAAGAATGCAACATAGCAGGAACAGGGCATAGGGATATAAAAGGAGCCCTTTTTAATTCTATTTTAATTATTTGCACATTGACAACAGTTTACAGTTTACATTCCCTGTTCTGGTATACCAGATTTTTTTCGAATTGTAGAAGCCAAATCATAGTTATTTCAATTACATTGCATGTATATTCTTCCTGGAGCCAGTCAAAAATATAGTTAAACAGATCTTGTCATAGAAACAAAATTTTAAAGGTGTTTCCTATCTTGTGGCAGTGGTGATAATATTCTGGCTACTTTGCAGAACTCTAGCCCAATGGTTGCCATTAATTTGATTTGAACTGATTTTATAATGAATTGCTTTTAGAATGCTGTATTATTTGACTGTTGTTAGCCGCTCTGAGCCCGGCTTCGGCTGGGGAGGGCGGGATATAAATAAAAAAATATTATTATTATGCAAGGTTAATCAGTAAATGAAAGTGAGATTGCTATTTTTGCCCTATTGTAATAATTTTGCCTCTTTAACCCAACAGCCTTTGCTTCCTTTGACCCCATACTGATGTGAGTACCTGAGGTTATTGCAAACAAAGCAAAGCAACAACAACAACAAAAAGTTGGCATCCTTTTTGATGCCTTTTTATCTTCTAAAAAACTCATCCAGAAGTGAATCCAGGGCTTTCTAGAGGGTTTGTGAGCTTAAGGTCTTACATTCTCTCCATTCTAGCAAAGGTGACTAGTTGGAAGGACAGAACAAAACGCTACAAAAATATTTGTATACTTTGACATTATATGCACTACCCTCTTTTCCCTCAGGTATATGTGACTGATACAAAAAATTAATACGGTGTTATTTTCTTTCTCTCTCTCACCAGAATGGAATATAGGAACTTCCTCCTTGGCTTCCTTCTCTCCTGCACGTTGCTCATAACCAGCTACTCTTACATGGTATTTGAGGAAAAGCAGAATGCCATCAACAGTACGGTAAATAGTAACAAAATCAAGTTTCCGGATCTCCCACCTATCTCAATAGTAGGTCAGTAAAGTCTTCTGTTTGGAATCTTAAAAACAGAACTGGGAGGCATGCAACTTCTGAAAGAAGAACTCATTGTGTCTCTTTTACCTCTGCCTCTGTTCTGGTACTTTGTAGCCCAGCCTTGATCAACCTGGACCTAATCTGGAACTGAGCCCTGCCATTATTTATTTATTTTTAAAATAAACTAATACCGTCATTTCAGGCAAGTAGGAGTGGAAAGGAACACCTCTCAAATTCAGCTGATTAATTTTACGTTTTCAAAAACAAAAGCCTATACTCCTATTAGATACTGAGTGACTGAATCCATGTAAATCCCTTAGCTATATTTGCACTTTAGCTCAAATCGTCACAATCCCACCAATGCCTCTGTCATCCTTAAAAAAAGCATAAAGCTATGGGGTAGCTTTCCAGGACTACTCAAACTGAACCCATATGAACTCCACCACATCACAGAGTTACCAGATGAGTCAATCAAAACTTCAAGGCTAATTTTATAAAGGCTCTTCATAGGCATTCTGGGATTAATAGAAACACATTTACATTAGCCATCTGTTCACAAATAGCTAATTGAACTAAATTGAGAGTAAAGTAAATTTGATATTGGGAAAGCTCAACATCTAAGCAAAATATGGCTTTCATAATTGACCTGAATCTGCTATCATTTCAGAATACAGCCTACCCAAGTTAAGGATTGTCATGACTTCTAAATGCTTGGGAATAAATCACAGAACATTGCAAAAGACAATAGTGGAATTCGCTTTCCTTTATAATGCTCTTGAATGAGAATGCCAGCTATATCGGTTGGAATTCCATGTAGCACTATTCTGAACATTCTGTCTGCAGAAGCATTTCAGCTCACCAGATGGAATGATTCCCCCCTCCTCCCCATGTGCTGTTCTGGAGGCTTTCTCTCTCACACACAAGGTAATTTCAGGGGCACAAGGGGAGAAGATGAGGGAAAGCTCCATGGTGCAAGTGGAAGCCCTTGCAAGGGTTTCTGCTGATGTGGCTCCTTAGGTGAATCCCACCCAAAGTATTTTTGTAAACCATCATAGAATATAACTGAAGGGTGCAGTATAAAAGCAATGTAAAATAAATCTCAATAATTACCTTGACTGCTAAAGTCAGGTTCACTACTACCAGAATGGAGCAAAGTTGTGTTCTACTTCCTCTGACAAAGTCAACTGGATCTCAGTTATCTCTTGCATGAGGTTTGGTAGAAGATGTGTTATCACAATCCATCTGTAATGGCAACAAAGTCCACTTTTGAAAAATGAAGATATACAGGCAGTTGCTAAAATTAGATGTCTTGGAATGGGTCCAGAACCACCAGGCCATAGAACATCCGCTGCCTAGCCTCCTCTTTGGTTCTTTCCTTCCCAAAGTGAGCTGCCAAGGAGCAATAGACCATTTCTATGTATCTGGCACTGAAGAAAAACAAGCCATCTGTGGAGGAATACCACAGTATTATCAGAACAAACAAGCAGCTCACTTTTCTTCCTTGCTCAGTATCAAGGAAACAACTGCTTTCCAAGATCCATTCTAGCTAGCTTTTCAGATGCAATGGTGGGAAGGATAGCAACAACTGCCCAAACCTCCAATGATACTTTCAGCTTCTCTACCCAGTGGACCTGCACATGCGAGAATGAATGGATGATGGCAGAATAGGACATGTGCTTGTGTGCATATGAGAGTGAGAGAGAGAGAGAGAGAGGATGAAGGGGAGAAAGGAGGGAGAAAATGGAGAGTAAAAAAACTATGCATGACTTGGAGAAAGTAGATAGAGAAAAAATTTTCTCCTCTCGTAACACTAGAACCCAGGAACATCCAATGCAGAGTTATGTTTGAAGATTCAGGACAGACAAAAGAAAGTACTACTTTATACATAGTTAAACAATAGAATTCACTCCCACAGGAGGCAGGGATGACTACTAACTTCAGTGGTTCTAAAAGGGGGCTAGACAAATTCATGAAGAATGGCTCCTAGCTACTGGCCACAATGGCTATGCCAGAAGCAGGATGTTTTTGAATAGTAGTTTCTTGAAACCACAGTAGAGGAGAGTGCTCTTGCACTCAGTTCCTATGTTTGGGCTTCCCATAGGCATCTAGCTGTTCATTGTGACAACAGGATGCAGAACTAGATGGGCCGTTGACCTGATCCAGCAGGCTCTTCTTATGAGTGGCAGAGAGAAATTCTTTGTTTTGCAACCTTGGGTTTTCTAACAAATCAAAAAAGGAACAATATAACTGTGTGACTCACACCTACTTCCAAACTCTAGACTCTAGACAGTAAGGTACTGAGAGAGGAAAAGAGACAAGGTACATGTCTAGTACCCTTGCATGTGTCTGCTATGTACATTAATGTATGTGTAAATAAATCCCTGAAAGGGCAAGGGAGCATATAAGCGAGGTTGCTTATATTAGAAACAAATATAAATAGACAAATGAGAAATGACTGTAACTGAAAAGGCCTGTAAAAAGATGCTTCACACTTTCTATCAGTATAGATTTACTGTCATCAGGATTACATGGAGATCATTATACTCTTGAGTAATCATCAGTTACAAAGAGCACATGAAGCAAATCAGGATGGAATTGAGGACCTAGAAGCAGCAGCGATGGATGCATTCAATAAGATGAAAGGTTGCAAGACAAAAGTAAATGTCAGCAGAGGTGCTGGAAGTCAGCGCTGATAGAAGGTGTGACCTCTCTTTTTGTAGGCCTTTTCAATTACATCCTTCAGTAGGGAAATGATGAACAAGTACCATAAGGCTTTTCAGTGTGTATTTAAAACACAAAAGGCATATTATCTATTATGTGAGATTTCCAAGAGAGGAACTAGATGAAACATGATCTGACATAGGTTGTGCTAAATTGCTATAAAGCATAAGGAGGGAGGTAATTTAATGTACAGCTGAGTGAGAAGGGTTCTTTCCCACAGCCATTTTTTCTCCTGGGTGGAGTTATTTTTGATCTGGAAAGTGGTAGGGCAACAGTGATTTCAGTGGTACAACATAGGCAGAGACATTCCTTCCTGTCTGCCCCAATGCACTTTATACTCCCAGCCCACATATGATTTTGACAGCGTCACATGGATCACATCTGTCTGTCTGCAGAGGGTCAGTTATGGCTTTATATCCAGGTGGTGTATAAAGGTTTGATTTGAATTACAATGATTTTTAGCAGTACTATATTTTTGTAAGAGCATCTGTGCAGCAAGCATGGCCAATAGCCAGGGATTATGGAAGCTGTAGTTAAGCAACATCTGGAGGACCAATGATTCCCCACACCTGACACAGCAGGAAACCATGGCTTCTCATTACATCCAAACCTACCCAATTCTTCAATGTCATACTTCCACCCAGCCTATTAAGGAGATTATTTTCACCTGCAAGAGGTGAAGAAAGGAAGTGGGTTAGAGAACTGTTGGAGAAATACGAGGAGAGTTGCAGAAGCTATGTCTCCAAGTGCTGAAAGTTATAGGCAATGTCACCTGGTGATAAGCTGAATGCTCAAAAGCTCAAGCAAACCTGGCATGCTCAAAATCAAATGAACATATGGAGCAAGGTGGTTGCACTAGATTATATATAATTCAGTAAGGGTTACCCAAAACGTTTTTTAGTGCTCAGATAGATGAGAAGCATAGAGTTGCCATCACTCCCCATCTCTTTACCCCCCCCCCCCATTCTTCATAAGTATATTTTTGTATGTATAGTTCTTCTGACCCTACAATTGACATCTCATGATGTATGGCATATAAAAGGCAATACAGTACCCCCCCTCCACATGTACTCAGCAGGCCCTGTCAATGTGACCAATGATCAGGGATGGTGAGGTGGCAGGGTATAGAACCAAATGGTGCAAATGTCCCGGAAGGCCTGTAAACACCATCTTGGTAGTCAAGATAACCCCAAGACTAATTCGTATTTACGGCAAAAATAAACTCATAGTTTATCTGCTTGCTTTGAAACTTTAAAGTCTCAAGCTGGCTGCCTTTCAGCCACTCCCTTATCTGAGAGATGGATGGGACTGGGGAACGGACCTCTAAGCCAGGGGTTGTTAATTGGGGTCAGCTTACGTAGCTGGCTTTTTATATAAGTAGCCCATATACAATTGGCCTGTCACAAACAAAGCCATGGTGCTTGCTGTTTCAATGTCCGTCCTGAGGTATAGCAGCAAGGAATCCTGCATTGCATTGCTGTATGTAACCTTCTTGATATAAAGCACTTGAACTGATCACTTTGCCATTTTATGCATATTTCTTTGGAATCCCTGCAACTGAGTTATTTGGGGCATCAGTCAATCCTTTGTCCCGGTCTGTATTTGGACTCACGGGGATGAAACATGGTGTTGTAGTAGCATCTGGAAGGTACTACATCACCTACCCCTGAAGTAAGCAAAATGTGAGGTGGCACAGAGGGTGATGTCATCATGTTACATATTGTAATTTGCCACATTACTTGGAATAAGGGGACAGAGACAAGCAATGTGAGAAAATCCATGTCTCTCAAAGTATCTACTTTCATGTTACACATTCATGCATGGTAACACCTTAAAAAAATGTTTTTCCCCTCTAAAGATTTAACCAAAACGTCCCTGAAGCTCAGCAGGAATGAGGCTGAGAAAAGGAAATCTATGAAGGTGAGTGATCCATCTTGAAAAGTCAGCAAGGTCAAAATAGTTCAAGTTGTCAGTAACAGGTTATAGGACTTCTCACTTTTACATTTCTGTTGCTGATGGGGATATCTATATTACCAGCTTATATTAACAAGTACAGTATCTCTGTATTTATATATTTAACTCACCTTTCTGTGTCTTCACACTCTAAAATCAGTTAAGAAAAAAGCAAGGTATGTACCTCACATCTAGTTTAGTCCAAAGTTCATACATACACAGACACACAATATCCTTCATGGAAGCCAAGGCAGCATAACTGTAATTCCCAAGCAGTTGCCACTCTGGCCAGAACTACTTAGCTTCAATAAGATGGTGGCCACATGTGCCATATGTGAAGTGTTTCAATTGCACATGATTTCATGCAAGTGCATGATAATCTGGAACATAACCCTAGTGTAAATCAGGGGTTGCCTGTATACTGGATATGCTTCGTGTGGGGACGTTTATATAATTTAGCAGAGTTTAAACGATCCTCTGTTTGAGTTTATGCAGCAACAAGAGGGTTGCTAACTCGTTTGAGTCTTATCAATAATTATACCTTCCTGGTTGATAATCCCTTTCTGTTCCTCTTAAAGAAAACACACATGAATCTGAATCATATTAACATAAACTACTTTACTTTCAGATTCATTCAGGTTTACACAGTTGTTCCAGAAGGCAGGCTTAGGTTACATGACAGATAAACTATATACTAGATAGTAGTGAATCATGAGAACACTGCATCCGAGCAGTTACCAGTTAAAACTCCTAGCAGCAACCAACCAACTGACAAAACTGCCTGCCACATAGAGGCAGTTAGTCTTCTCGGAATGTTGGACTTGACTGACAGCTTTATATCCCACAGTTTGGGGGGGGCAGGGTTGGCACTAATTACAAGTTTGATATTAGGTTTGACTGCTAGTAGAGAACTAAATCAGAATCTATACAGTCGGATCAATTGAACCATGAGATTATCTGTGAATGCCAGACATGCTAAAAGAAAAATTATACGGTTGCCTCCAGCAGAACAACTAGATAGGAAATTAAGCTTATTTCCAGAGAACTACACATATCCATAGTAAAACTACGGTAATTGACAGGTATGCAAAAAATTGCATTTAAAAATGGATCACAGACTTTCTTCCTGACCTTCAATAATGTTTTTTTTTTAAGCTTCTTTATTATTCAACAATGTTGATATTCTACATTTACCAGCTTCACAGACCAGTAGAAACAGTGAAATCTGCCTTATACTGAGTTAGACCATTGGTTCATCCAACCTAGTATTGTCAACCCTGACAAGCCATAACTCTTGAGGGTTTCAGTTCACCCTTACTGGAGATGCCTGGGATCGAATCCAATACCTTCTGCAAGGAAAGCATACACTCTACTAGTGATCTATGGCCCTTCTCTGGGGTTTTATTTTAAGTAGATTTTTTAAGAGCAACAAATCCTCACTGTTGCAGGGCTACCATACATCTGGATCTTCCCGGACATTAACAGGATTTCAGAGGTGGAACTGACGTCCAGGGGGAATGTGGTGCTTTGTCTTGGATCTTAGGCAAGTCAATAGAAAAACTGTGCAGGCTTTCCTTTAAAAAACTCAACAACTTTTGGGGTGTCCTGAACTATGGCAACCTTACACTGTTGGAACTCTTATTATACTTTATTGTAGCCAAGATTTATTAAGCTTTTCATCTTTTTTTCCCCTCCTCAGAAAAAGGCACAGCAAAAAAAGCCTCCCCAACCAAGACCACCACCACCACCCAACTGTGTGCCTACTTGGTCAAGCTGCAAGCCACCATCTCGTCCCTGCTGCGATTTTTGTGCCTTCTGTCACTGCCGACTATTTCAGACAGTCTGCTACTGCCGTATGGGAAACCCAAACTGCTAAATCAAAAACCAGGGATGCCACGGGGACTCTGTGTCTTATTAGACCCAAAAATGTGTCTTCTAGGCCTCTTTGTCTTATGTGCATTGCAAAGGAAGCCAATAACTTTTGAAGCTGGCTGGCTGGCTGGCTTTCACTCCCTATCAAACTGCATGAATTATGGGATATATTTCATGAGGTAAATGCTGTCATAAACAAGACAGCCACTGCCCTAGCAAGTATGACAAGGAATGGAAAGAAAGGAGATGCAGCCTGATGGCCTGAAAGGGTATTTACAAGGGAGGTGAAAAGAAGCAGATTTCATGTCAAGAAGGAATTATATCTTTCTTCAGAAGTGGTATTATATTGCACATTACAAGTTTGAATGAGAAACATGGGCCACTGACTAGCTACAAAAGGCACATTCCAGAAAGTCAGTCATGTAGCAATAAAGAAGATTTTTAAATAGTATAGGGCAGATGGAGACAAGCTACTGCTCAGTCTTTTATAGTTAGCTCTCTGTCAAGGGTGGAAGATAAAAGCCTGTTGAAACTGCCAACCCAAGGTCCTAGAAAAGAGTGGCCCTTACCCAAATTATTATGACCACTGCATCTCCTTTGAAGCGGGGAGCATGGCCGCACTTAGTTCCACAGACACCTACTGAATAGTATGATATCAACACAACATGCCACAAATCCAGCCCATCCTATTTACCACAGTGGCTAACCATATGCCTATGGGAATCCTACAAGCAAGATACAAAGGTAATAGACCTCTCCTGCTGTTGTCCGCAGCAACTGGTTGTCAGAGGTGCACTGCTTCTGTAACAAAAGGTAACAAAAGGCTATTGCGCCTAGTAGCCATTAATGACTTTACCCATAAAGAAATCATAGAGTTGGAAGGAACCCTGAGGATCATCTAGTCCAGGCATATCCAACTCCCAAGAGAATGTGATCTACTCCCAGTATAAAAAAAAAAACCTGGCAGTGATCTACCCATTGTCATTGGAGAGAAGAGGAGCATGCGTGGGGTGGACTGCCCAGAATTTTTGAGCTTTTTTTAGGAGGGAAGTCCCAGAGTTGTTGAGCTTTTTTGGGGGAGGATTGCACAGAGTTTTTTAGTTTTTTCCACAAGCACTTCTCACATGCACAAATATTCTTTTTTTACTTTGCTACTATGATGTGGGAACGCAGGTGGCGCTGTGGGTTAAACCACAGAGCCTAGGACTTGCCAGTCAGAAGGTCGGCAGTTCGAATCCCCGCGACGGGGTGAGCTCCCGTTGCTCAGTCCCAGCTCTTGCCCACCTAGCAGTTCGAAAGTATGTCAAGGTGCAAGTAGATAAATAGGTACCACTCCGGCGGGAAGGTAAACAGCGTTTCTGTGCTCTGCTCTGGTTCGCCAGAAGCGGCTTAGTCATGCTGGCCACATGACCCGGAAGCTATCTGCGGACAAATGCCAGCTCCCAAGGCCAGTAAAGTGAGATGAGCGCCACAACCCCAGAGTCGTCCGCAACTGGACTTAACGGTCAGAGGTACCTTTACCTTTTTAAGGATCCCATGATCTACCAGGATCAGCTGGGGATCTACCAGTAGATCATGATCTACTGGTTGGACATCCCTGATCCTGTCCCCTGCAGTGGAGGAATATGCAGCTGTCCCTTACAGAGATCAGTCTTGCAACCTTGGTGTTATCAGCACCACACTCTAACCAACTGAGCTAGCCTTCATGAATCCAACCCTTTTTAAACCATCACAATTGGTGCCCGTCACTACATCACAAACTACATTTACTTCCCATTGTGAAAAAATGCACTCCTCTTTCATTCTTTTTAAAAAAAAAAATTAAATACATTCTGTCACTGCAGCAAATCTCATCTCAATATCTCCACTTTTAGGTAGCCTGTGCTAAAATAGATATGATTTCTTTACCAAATTAATTCAAACTCTGTCCCAAAAATAACTGGGCTCTGCAGGCTGTGTTGATTAAGCAAGTTTTCTTGCTTAATCTATACAGGTTAATCAACACATCTGCTAGCAATGGGTACTTTCCAATAACTCTGCAGTGCAGTTTCCCCCTCACAGACCTACAATTCCAGGTATTTTTCATAAACTACAGTTCCCAGGATTCTTTGGAATATGTCGTGTGCTTTAAATGTCTGCTTGAATGTTCTTTAAATATAAAGTGTCTGTCGCGATGAGGAATAGGATAGGGCAGCAAAGCAATACGTCAGGCAGAAATCCATAGCGAAATAGAAAAAGAGAGGAAACTTAAATTGAGATGAAAACACTGAATATCTAAGGCCTGGGGGGAATTGGAAAAATGGGGGGTGGGGAGAGACACCAGGGTTTTCCCAGTTTTTTTCCAAACAGAAAAAAATTGGCTTGGGGGGGACTGGGTCCCCCCCCCCCCAATTTTTCTGGGTTTTTTCCCAGGCCTTCCCATCTCTAGAAGGGACCCCAACAATCATCTTGGCCACCTCACTGCAATGCAGGAATCTCAACCAACCGTCAACTATGAAGAAAAGGAACATTTAGCAACTTTAAAATATATGGAAAAAACAGTGAAAGAATAAGGGGGGGAATTAACGGTATATGTTCAATTTGTATTGCATAAATAACAGGCATTAATAACAGATCAATAAAAATAGCATTTCTTATGCTATTGATGTTTCTTTTTGGGATTAAAAAATAAATAAATTTCCACATGCACTGTCAGAGAAAAATAGCAACAACACAGAAGATTCATACAGTATAGAGGAGGAGCATATACAAATAAATACACAGTACTTTAAAAAATAATGTAAGAAATCTATAGGCTGCCTAAGGAAACATAGATATTATTGTTTTATGACCAAAAGAGTGGAGCAAATTGAATAAAAGAGGTGATAAGGAAAAATATTTCAAGCTTACTTGAACAAAGCTGATAAATAAATAGGCTTTGATCTGTGACTTGGGCCTGCCCTCTCAGGGATAAGGAAAAACACTTCAAGTTTACTTGAAGTTGATAAATAAATAGTCCTATAAATAGTCTTTGAATTATTTATTAGCTTCAAGTAAACCTGATTTCTCTCTCCCACCCCACCCCCTTTATTTCAAGTTTACTTAAAGTTGACTAATATTCTTTGGACTACTTATTAGCTTCAAGTAAACATGAAATGGTTTCCCTTCTGAGAGGGCAGGCCCAAATCACTTTTCTGCCTAAGGCAGAACAGCAAACGTCGCTTCAACATTCCCAGTCAAGGTGCATTGTAACTTTGGCTGGTCTAGTTATTTTGGCTCCTAAATCAGATAATCCCATAGGTGCCTCTCCACCCCTCCCCTCTGGGAGTATAAATACAAGAAGTATATAAATTAACCTTTTTTCTGCCCTTGCATAACATGCAAAATCAGTTGCCTGAGGGAGCTGCCTCAGCCTCACTCTGCTTAATGGTGAGGCCGGTCCTGAAAGCAAAATTGAATGAAGTTATGTGAGGAAAATAAAACTGAGGAAGGAAGGAAAGGGAACACTTCTTTTTAAAAAATGAACCAATGTTGGCATACTGTCAATAAAGAAAAATAACTATAGATAAAGAATGTTTGTACAGCAAGCTGAAGATAACCAAGGGAAATAAGACTGCTTATCCAGGGGTCAGCAACCTTTTTCAGCCGTGCGCCGGTCCACCGTCCCTCAGACCATGGGCCTGTGGGCTGGACTATATTTGGGGGGGGGGGAATGAATGAATTCCTATGCCCCACAAATATCCCAGAGATGCATTTAAAATAAAAGGACACATTCTATTCATGCAAAAACACGCTGATTCCCGGACCATCCACAGGCCAGATTTAGAAGGCAATTGGGCCGGATCCGGCCCCCGGGCCTTAGGTTGCCTACCCCTGGCTTATACCAAAATAGAACCCCCGTATTGAAAAACTGAAGAAGAGAGGATATCAAAAGGCATCTATATGCATAGATGCACTGTAAAAGAAATCACCTTTATCTGCATGACTTAAAGAGAATACTGAAGGTTCAGGGCTGGCTCAAGACACCTTATTGCCTGAGGAAGAACAGAAAATTGCATATAGTACCCATGGTCAAATTATTCAGGCACCTGAATAATATACATAATTTGATAAGTGTGTGCCAATATTGCTTTGTCGCTCAGTGAAACAATTCACAAGTGAGAAAAGTGGTCCCTTTAAGACAGGGACTGATCACTGTTGGGAACGGGATACCAAATTAGAGGAACTTTTGATCAGTGCTGTGGCCCTCCAGATGTTGTCAGCTGTCCTGTGGCCCTCCAAATGTTTTCATATTCCCATCAGTCCCAGACAGCATAGTCCATGGTCAGGGTGCTGGTAGCCGAATGTCCAAGATCTTTCCAAAATCCTCCTGCATATTATTTCCTCCAGGATATTTACCAGTGTAACAGTAGTCTTGTTTTTATCTGCGGGCGTCAATTTAAAATAATTCCCCTGAACATGAACACGCAACATAGCAAAGCATTATATATGTATATTTAGGAAGATGAGTTTTTGGCACACTAATTAATGTTTAAATTTTTTAAAAAAATATTTAGGAGGAGAATGCATACAAATTAAAACAGTGAACTTTGGTTTTTTGTACGTCCCCATTTGTACTGCTGAATACAAAAAAACTAAGGGGGATGTGAAGGCCCTTTCCAGAAGAATCTGACTGATCACTGTTGGGAACAGGGTACTAAATTAGAGGAACTTTTGAACCAATTCAGCAGGTCTTGTCTTATGCTCTGATGAGGTGGCGGACTAACAACAGTACAATCCTAACCATGCCTGAATTCTGAACTGCATTGCTTCTGGTTAGAGCTGCCATATGCCAGGATTCAGCTGTCAGAATGTTTTTTGAGATTTTGCAAAAAAAACCAGCATTCTACAAATCCCCCTCCCCCAAAAAAGTGGTATATTATGGTTGAAGTGGTTGATTATGTTCTAAACACACCATGATGGTTTTTTTAATATAAAAAAGCTATGGTCTATACAGAAATAATAACAACCCCTAAATCCATCATAGAGCTTTAATAGTCAACAGGCTTTAATTAGCACAATGTGAAAAAGGTTTAACATTGCGTGGTTCACCCTTCACCAATCTTGTGCCCTCCAAACAACAGTCATGCAATGTGCTGGCTGAGGTTGATGAGAATTATAAAACCCAAACCATCTAGAAGCACCAGGCTGTTGAACACTGGTATGGTGGTACAATCTGTAATTCTGCCACCTCACTCAGTGTAGTGCATAACGTGGCTATATCCAAGCAGAATTTACTTGAGTGCCCTTCACACATTCCCCAAGCATACAGGAGCTATTTTCTTAAGACGTGCTCTCACATCTGTATTAAAGCACAGTGGATCATCTGTCATTGGGCTTTCTGGGACATGAGGATAACTTGCAGACTTGGATTTCCTTACAGAGAACTGTGTGAGAACAAAGTAAACAAAAAGACACAAAAAATATAGATGTATTCTGTGAAGTGGGCTCAGAAACGTTTGTTTTTATGCCTTTGCTATTTAATTCTTTTTCACTCTCTTCAAAGACCAGTGCTCAATATAAAGGCCAGATGTTAAGAGAGAGTGGAGGGCAGGTTTGCTAGTCCATCCTTCTGTGAAGTTGGGACAGAAAGACAGAGACAGAGACCATGAGGGAGTCTAAGCAGTGACAGACAAAACCTCAAAGAACATTTGTCTCCCTCAACATTGTCTATTGACTGCCATAAATCTTAGAAGGTTGGATTCTATTAAAATGCTCATAACAATTACGGTACTTCTAATCAGCCCTACAGCGTTGGAGATCTGCACTTAATTTGCTTAGGAAGAAAAACCCCAAAGTGAAAAGAAGGGACAGTTCACACCATAAAAGCAGCCATCCATCCAGTGATGTTCAGATATGAGGTTTCAATCATTTCCAAATTCACAATAATGTTCTCCAAAATTAGAGTTCAGATTCTTAGCATGGCATGTTGATCTTGTTGTCTAATATGAAAGTGTTGACAGAGGACAAACCAGTCACCTTGGCCTCAATCCAGTAAACCCATTTCTGCCTTTTGTTGGATTCCACCAAACAGCAGAAATCTTGCACAGCATCATAACCTGCTTTTTTAAATTAATGGCAGCACAAAATATCAGGGAGCCTTGTAGTATGGTTGTCAAGCAAACTTAACAAAATCCCAGCTGTGAGGGCTCCTCTTCAAAAAGGAGTAATAAAAATATCACACTGGTTATTAAAGACCAATACACGACGATGGGAATGAAAGAGAACCAGACAAATAATAATGATTCATGCAGCCTTCCCCAATTGAGTGTCCTCCAGATGTTTTGGACTGAGGGCTGATGAGAGTTGTAATCCAGAACAACTGGAGGGCACAAGGTTGGGAGGGGCTGTGCTAGAGTAAAAATACAATTATTAGCAGAAGCAAATGAAAGATAATAACTTGTAGAAGATAATTAAGAATGTGGTTTTCGCTTTTATTGAAATCAATTAGACTTTAAATGTGTTTAACTTGGGTTGGATAACATATTATGTCAGGAGACTGCCTAATACCACAGCAAAACAAAATAGAAATACTGCAGCCTAGATCATGAATTCCTTATTTAGGTGGAACCACATGATGAAAATATGGTGTCCCCAACTCCGTGTTTTCCTTACAAGGGAAATATGAGGGCTGGTGGAACTTAAAAGGAAACAGCAGTGGAAGGAGTTCTCCAGCTGCTGATTCTCCCCTACAAATGCCCTTTCCAGTGATTTGAATTGTTTCTTCACCCACCTGGGCTCCGAAGCAGTAAGTTCAGCTGAGGGGAAGATAGGCGGGAGAACCATTTGCAGGAGAGAAGTGGTTAGTACTGTATAAGAAAGTTTAAGCACTCTTCCTTATCACTCACCAAATCTCACTGGCAAATATCCTCTTTGCCCCACATTTGTATTAGCTCAATAAATACAGGTTTAGGAACCAAATATGTGGTTTTCTTCTCAATTCCATTAATATTCCATTCCAATAACAATCAGTTCTTAATCCTGCAATCCTATGCAAAAACAAAAATGAAAGTAAATCCCATTTTGCTCACTGATACTTCTGTCAATTTTTGGTTCTCTGTATTTCTCACTTTTCCAATCTTAAATTTGGTTTTGCATATTTCTAGAGAAATTTGACAATTTTCTGTTTTAAGCTCCTCGTGAAAGTTCTTCAGCATTTCAGTGGAAATTTAGTCTAATATACACATATGCAGTTTTGACTAATATACGCTTTTTTGCAAGCAATTTCTAGCCATATAATGCATTTTATATGTTATGTTCAAGAATATATTCATTTTTATACATATTTTTACCTAATATGTGCATTTTTGTCAACTCTGATTGGTGAAACAATTGCATCACAAAATTTGGTTAAGTGCACTTCTCATATTGTTTCAGAAAGTACGAATTTGACAAATTCCGCTTTGTGAAAGAGCCCCACCATTACTAGGGAGAAGCAAGGCTTTTATAACATAGATATAATTTTGGGGGGGAAAGATATTGTTATCAACTTAGGATCCACACCAGTCCCACATTTTTCTTCTTCTGAAGTTCCCACTCTCCCTGTTTCAACAACAACAAACACCTCTTTTGCAGAAAATGAAGATTTTTTGAGTTTAAATATCTCCAGCAAAGGAAAGACCCCCACCTCCTGAGGAACTGTAGCTTACTTCTCACAAAGCTACAATTCTCAGCACTTAACTAACTACAGCTATCAGAATTCTTTCCAGGGGGCGGTCATCTTTACATTTACAGCATGTGCACAGCTTCACTGTCAAACCACATTTATCGTTAGGGAGTTTTGCCTAAACAGAGATCTAAAATCTGCTTTCCTGCCATTTTTACCTGTTGGTTCTAGTCCTGATCTCCAGAGCAACAGAGAGGAAGCCTATTTCATACTCTGCAATAACAGCCCTTCCGATATTTGAAGACCAGTATTAAGATGTATTCATTTAGAGTTTATTTACTTCGAAGCAGCATAAAGTTTGGTAAGAAAAGCAAATCAACATTTGGTCTACATGTGGGCATGTATACGTGTGTGGAGATGTGAACAAGCACATGGGCAGCTAAATTCAGTTAAATATTTTTTACTTAGACCGTTATGAGATTTTTAACACAGTAATTCAGGACCAAATTCGATGTGATGTTGATAGCATGGTGCACAGGGAAAGATTCGACCATATCCCCCACTTCAAAATCCAATGAAAATTTTCCCTCCCCAAAACTCCTATTAGTTCTGAAGGGGAGAGCTCCCACTGGCTGCTTCAGAGGTAATTTTATCAGGAGCAGTCAGGGGGATTGAAAACAGTCCCAATATCCTCTCCTCCCCCCCATAATGGCTTTTTGACCTTTTTTAAAACTGTGCACATTACTTGCTTTCACCCAGATGTTATATCTCCTTTGGCCCGCAGTTAACTATTTTGTTATGCATTTAGAATTAACCAGGAATTAATTATGTCTTTTTTCCATACACTCACATGATCTTCTGTTACTACTGCTTTTTCACCACTATTTAGATACAAAGGTGTGCACAAGATGTTGTTTCTAATATTTCCTGTGACTCATTACCATGATAATTAATGGCAAAAAGGACAATGTGTTCCATAATAAGCACTGTGAAATACTCATATGCCTTACTGAATTTCTTGGCCATGGCTCACATTGCGTGATCGTTTACAGGGTATGGAAACGAATAAAGTATTTATCAAAAATAATGCTTCTTGTCTTTTAAAAATAATTGGGTTGGGAAGGAAAATTTCCTGGTCACTGTCAAGATAATATAGATTGTAGAGTAACATACATAATAATATCAGTAGAAATGTGATTATAAAGGAAACTGTGGAGATGATTCCACAATGAATATTATACATCCTTTTGCTCAAAAGCTCTGAGCCTCTCAAGGTCTTCTCTCAGTATATGAATGAAACTATTATATTCTGCTTCAAACTTCTGAATGGTGGGCTCCAAGTTTATGTCTGTCTTTCAACCAAATTATTTTCTCTCTTCTGTCAAAAAGCTAATTCCATTAGTCTATTGATTATTACATTATATTTATTATTATATTTAAATGCCAACTTTGCTCCAAGGAGTTCAAGGTAAGCATACACAGTTCTCCACCCCACCCCCATTTTATTCACACAACACCCCTGTGAGGTGGGCTGAGAGAGCATGGCTGGCTCAAGGTCACCCAGTGGGCTTCATGACTGAGTAGGAATTTGATTTTGAGTCTTCACAGTCCTAGTTCAACACTTTAGTCCAACCAAAGCCAGCACTTCCACTACACAAAAGCAATTCCCAGCAACTAATATTCAGATACATGCTGCCTCTGACAATGAAAGCCATTATGCCAAGCAGCTACTGATCGCCTTATGCCCAATGTATTCGTCCAATTCTCTGTTAAAGCCATCCAATTGGTGGCCATCACTGCCTCTTGTGAGAATGGGTTCCATACTTTAAGTATGTACAGTGTGACTCATTATAGTACACACAGTTTAATATGCTCACATGTAGCAGCAACAGCATTTGGTTGCTGAGGACTAGCATTTTAATTCTCCAGTTTTTCCAAAGGCAGTGTTGCTTCAGAAATATAGTGAAGACAATGAGCATCAATGATGGGCCTTGTCATGGTGCTGATTCCCTGGTAACTACCAAGGGAATCCAGGTGCTGTAGCCAGCCCTGAACAGATGACCAGCCAAAATGACAGCTGAATAAACTTTGTCAAGCTTCAAAGAGATACAACCCCCTTCTAACCGGCAACGTGCTTCACCAGCCCCTCCTCTCACTTTTTATTTCTTCAGGTAAGGTTTACCTACACAGCACAGACTCGGGCCCATTTTGTAATGCTATGTTTATTTGATGAAATTCATTTTCTCCTACTCTCCCCACATTCCATCCTCCCAACTAGGCCACAAATCTCTCCAATTCAACCCAAACCAGAGAAACATTCACATACAACAAGAATCTTCTTTTGATCTTGGAATTCCTTTTGATCTTGAAAGAAAATTGGCCAAATCCCCAATCATCTTGCAGATGAAAACGGTTTATAAAATCTGGAGGGCCCTTGGGGAGGTAAGGCCAGCCTGAATAGTATTTGTCATTTTAGCTAAAACTCATCACCTCAATAGCCAGGTGCCACAATAAGAAGCAATTCTTTAAATAAATGGCTGTTTCTTTTGCTAAAGCGTTCTGTTTCCCCTGGGGAGCACTGATTAGTTTCTGGAAATTTAGGTTTCTCTACTGACTGATGTGATGGCCATTTGCCAATGTACTGAGGGCAAAAGAATTCATGTGAAAGTGAGTTTTGGGTGGCCGCAGTATCACTAATACAAGAGATGGGGTGGGGGGAGAGAGATTGCACTTAACTACATGACATAACCCAGGGGTCAGTAAACTTTTACAGCAGGGGGCCGGTCTACTGTCCCTCAGACCTTGTGGGGGGCTGGACTATATTTTTTTGGGGGGGGAGATGAACAAATTCCTATGCCCCACAAATAACTCAGAGATGCATCTTAAATAAAAGCACACATTCCACTCATTTAAAAACACCAGGCAGGCCCCACAAATAACCCAGAGATGCATTTAAAATAAAAGGACACGTTCTACTCATGTAAAAACACGCTGATTCCCAGACAGTTTGCCGGACGGATTTAGAAGATGATTGGTCTGGATCTGGCCCCCGGGCCTTAGTTTGCCTACCCATAACATAACCCATGAAAAACACCACTGAGTAACTGGAGCTCATGCATTCCTCTGTCAGAGGTACGTATCGCAATTGAGTAAACAGAACAACATTGAATCTTATGAGACTCAGAAGGTCTTCCTAGATGTACAGTTGTTACACATTTGCTGTGGAAGATGCAGAGATACAATTTCTGAAACTTTAGGAATACAACTTCGCTCTTTGCAACAATGTTGTGGAGCTTTTGATTACATTTTGTGAAATTTGATCTTTTAAAAGATTGCCCACATTTTCAATAAGTGGGCACTATTGGTGCTAGATTAACATCAATTACCCCCCCCCCCCAAAGAAAGACACAAAGAAAGGAACAGGAATTAAAATCAGACAAGAAGACACCAAAAAATGTAACGGGTCAAATCTTGAGAAAGGAAAATCTCAGATTATGTATTACAGATAAAGGCAACAGCTTCATTTATTACAAAGGGCCAGAAATGGCTGAATACTGTTTTATGTAGAATCCTTAGGTGCCTAATAAAAATGTTTATCTTGCCCAAACAGAAGAGTAATGAACATAAAGTTACCTTTTTCCTTTGGCAACTGCAGTTAGCCCAGCTAGAGAAGATGGCACAAAGATTTTGTTGCTACTTCTGTGGGCCAAACCTCCCAGCTCATCATTTGTGCAGCAGAAAACACCACAAATTGATCCAAAGATGAAATGCAATCTCATCCTTTTAGCCAAGATTACGCCATTATTTTAAAAGCACCAGGAGGCTGCCAGCTCCTTCTGAAGGTCCCTGGCCAACACACCTGCTTCTCATCAGTACTTTGCCTTATCATTCTTCCTTCCTGCTGATTCCTTCCCTGTTTCATTTCTCACAAAATCAGGCCCATAAACACAGTGCATTTCCCCCTGCCCCAAGCACCTCTAGATTGCCGGGGGGGGGAATACACAGACGTTTTGTTTTTCTGCTTACCCGAGGTGTTCCTCTAATTTATTCCCCTTCTCCTTACATAGCACGATCACAAGTTGCAGTGGTGATACAGATATTTAAGAATGGGCAACGTTCAGTCATGTTCAGTGCAAGTGTCTACTGTTGCAGGAAACACCCCCCCCAATCATTCAGTTTGTACAAACACGACACACTCACACACGACATACGCAACGTTTCTGTTATAAATTCATAGCAAATCAACCATACATCGGATTTACACCGGTCCACTTTTATTTTACTCCATGAAGGAAGGACTATCAAAGGGAGATGGTTGGATACAGGACGGCCATAATCCCTTAACCGTACCAGCACATACACAGGAGCCCTACCCAGTTGGCATGACAACCTTGATGTTCCCAGGCAGAAGACCATCAAGGTCACAAAGGACATGCGTATGGGAGTGGATTCAACATGGACTGGAACAAAGGACAATGATCAGATCTTCCCTCTGGGGGCAGGAAACTGCCAGCTCCCCTTTGTCCTCTGGAAATGACTCATGGGGAGGGGGAAAGGAGGAACCAGCCAGGTGACAAGATACCCAGGTTACCTCCACAACTCCTCCCTCAACCCCTCCTTTTTGTGATGTGTCAATGATGTAGTCATGATGTAGTTGTGATGTAGTTCTAGGGGTGTAGTTTGGAGTATTAGTAACTAATAAAAGTTGGGATCTTCTTTTGTTCTGGGCTTCCATTTTGTTTCACCTGGTGGCAGGTGGGAGTCCTGTCGCGACAGTATTCAATAAAGACCAAGCGTACTGGCTGCTGTTTTGCTCTGGTATTCCTGGCTTTTGTCCTCATTTTTTTTGTCCAAGGGAGCTCTCGGATTCCTCCGTTAACACTACTCAGTTGCCTTTTCTAGCTTTATCTTGGCTTTATGGTGGTTGCATTAAAGCACATTTAAAACATGTCCCGCTCCCTCAAAGAATCTTGGGAGTTGTAGTTTGTTCAGGGTGATGCAATCATAGCTCTGTAAGAGGTAAACTACAGTTCCCAGGCTTCTTTGTTTGAGGGGATTTGCTTTAAGTGTATGGTGTGTGTGCAATACAACCACATCTGTCCAATCAACTGCTATAACTGTTATCCCCCACCTTTAGACAAAGACAGCAAGGGCTATCCAATTTTATGGCATGGAAACTGGGAGAAGGCAGTTCCTCCTTGTGGGAAAAGAATTAGGTAGGATAAAAAGACTAAAGGCAAAAAGAGGAAGGGAAAAGAAGTTGTACGTCTCAGAACTTAAATTCTTCAAGAAGGTGTAATTGTACCAAGATCTCATCTTTCACTTTTTGAGTGTCACATAAACCACATATTAGGCATGATTTCAAGCAGATGATGCTGGGAAGTATCCCCCCCCCAAACAGATGTTAGCTGAATTGTGCAAAAGAAATAAAAGAGGTGTAGAACGTTACATAGTGGGGGAGAATATTAGAGTAGAAGAACCATCGCAGTAACAAAAACAGACATCCATAACTGTAGCCAGAAAGAGAGAGAAGGGTGGCTGATTACTAGAAAAGAAGTATTCAATGGCATTTTATGCCTGCAACGTATCTTTAACTCCCACAGTGCAGCAGGAGAGAAGAGAGTCACAGCTGCTTGCATACATTCCATCTCTGTCCCTGTCCTACATGTGTTTCTTTTTCGGACATTGCCATCTTCCTTTGACTGGGCATCACACCCAAGCTGTGTGCAGCGCCAGCACCTTAAAATGCAGCAGGGTTCTTCCCCCACCTCTGTTGCTTTTTCGACTGTATTAGCATATTATTGTTCACATCAGTACGGCTGGATCTGTTTCCAAGTCACCTGCTGTCTGTCCACACCAGTGGGCAGAGTTGGGGCATGGATGTCCTCATACGTTTTATTATGTATACTAATTGGATTGTGGCTGGTTTATGAGGAAATGCAGCATTTAAAAAGAAATGACAGCATAGGTGTGGACTGTGGCTAGGGATGAGGGAGAAACTTAATTCAGTTCACATTTAAAGGCAGATGAATCAAATAGGCACTTTCTGAAACGATTTGAGAACTGAAACTTAGCCCCCCCCCTTCA